GCCAGCCTCAAAACCTTTAGCCTTCAGGACAAGCGCCAAAGCACATGCTCGAAAATCTAAGGCCCGATCTTATTCAAGGCCTTCCAGGGACAGCATTCCAAATATTCAATTCCGTGGCCACTGCCCGATGCATAGAGGCACTAGGAACCACGCCCAGATGCAGAGCCTAGCTAGGGAAGTCTAAAGTTCATTCAACTCCGTCTTTGAAGGCCTGTGGTTTGTGCCCTGAACACTTCCATGTGGAAGGTCTTGCAAGCAGCCTTCAGCTTGGAATCCTGTTCGCCGCCGGCAGGATTGCCTACAGCAAGCGGAAGCACTGGAACGCGCGGGTTCTAGAAGGCTTCTGCCGTGGAATTCCACGACTGCTGGACAATCACGACCCGTCCTATCCGAAGACGGATACACACGTCACTCGATGGCAGTAGCTCCCATCTGCTCAAAGCAAGACTTAGCGGCTGTGATACCTTTTCCGAGCCCTGGCCTTTTCCTGAGGTGCTGTTCTCCTATACATGCAGAGATGGCAGCCACTGGACTTGAATGTAATGTGAAGATTTCTGCAACCCCCTTTGGCACTGGGGGAGGTGCGGGGTGCGCTGGGTTTCGTCCAGCAGGTCCGCAGTTGCGAGAATGCCTTCTATGGACCCTGCAAACACCGACATGTGGGGCTTCGGGAACTCTACGATCAGTCCTGCCAACTCCTTAAGACAAACTCCAAATCGAACAAGCAGCCCATCAAACCCGGATCCATCGAGCGGCAGACAGATAGGATAAGAGCATGTTTCTCGTGGCCCAGCGATTCAAAGGGCTTACCGCAAACCTCAGAACTAAGCGAAGAGCTAAACCCTTCTCTGCCAAAGGCACTGGAAGGTAGAACTGAGAGACTCAGGGCTGAAGCTTTGATTCTGCCTGCAAGAAGGCGAAGTGCCGGCCGATGCATTCCGAATTGGGTCGCTCACAGCACCTCGGCGACAGCAGCTGATGCGTGTGTGTTGTGTATGTTTGTGCTGCTTCTTTGGAGAAATCACCCGACCTTGCGCATGTGACTGATGAAGACGCCTGAAATTACAAACGTAGCACGAGAGCGACACTCCTTCTTGCTGCATCGAGCACGTGACGCAAAGGGCGCAGCTGAAAAGCAGCAGCGTAGCGAAGATGTTGAGTCAGAGGCCACAGAGGATATTGTTTCTAGATGAACGGACTTCCGAAGCAGTACAATCCTGTCTGCGCTGAGGGAAGTGTACCAGCCTCCGGTTCTTGACGTCTTGCAGCCCACACACAGACACATTCCGGGTGCCTGTTGCAAGCAAGACCAGATGTTCCAGCATTTTGCTCATACAATTATCTTGTTTTAGGACCTTGTGCTGAAGCTGCTAAAGATCCGCACACATGAGAGCACTTCTACGTGCCATAACGGCTGTCGCACAGGAATCTACTTTCCCACCCGCCCGGGTTCTTAGCCTCCCTTTCGGAAGCACGCTGATCGACAAACTCAATCAGGTGATCACCAAAGCTTTTCATGACCTCCGTGCTTCTGGGCCGGCTGTGGAAGAGTGCATGTGGCTCGGCAAAGTTTTCAATAGCTGACAATGAGATGCCCTTCAAATCCCTATATGATACTACAACATACCTCAACTCCCGATTCCAAGTATTAAGACGGCCGAGGTAGGTCCATGACCTGTAACCACGTGCCTTAGGATCTTTAAATAACATGACCTAATATAGTTTAGGTAGAGTATAGTAGAATATAATGTTAGATAGCCCGAGGACCTCCATGTTGAGCTACGTCGTGCGAAGCGTGGAGAGGTCTCCGCAGTACATGCGCAACTTGGCATCGAGTCTTGTGTATCAGGGTCACCGGCTGATATGATGCACGTAGAACTACGGTGCAAAACCCAGTGCCGGACTGGAAAGCGAAATGGTTGCTCCCGACACTCCGGCTGGATTGCCTGAAGGGTCTTTCCAGGCTCTGAGTGCAGGCGCTGGAGACGATTTCCTGTGGGGATTCTGGGGGCGCAAAGCAGGGTTTCTGAGGTTTCCGAGTTCCTAGAACTCAGACCTAGACCTTGGAATGGACTAGTAGCCGGCCGCTTTTCTCTAATGTAGAAGGTCGGCAAAACCCAGTCCCAGTTAGGGTTTTAGGGTTTGGGGTTGAAATCAACCACCTACCCCACAGACTCATTGTAGTTTCTAGCACTACTCACCCTTAATACCATGGAGCCATGAACTCGGGGTATCTCTGGGAACCCCCCCTATACACAAGGTGCTCATATGGAGAACTCTCGGGGTCGAAAGCTAGAAGTGAATGGGAATCCTGCGAGTGTTCCAAGGCGAAGCAGGTGATGCCTGCAACTTCTTGCGGCAGCTAGGCTGGGGCTGGGGTAGCATGGGTTTCTGACGAAGCTGACGCCCAGATTCTAGCATAATCCTGCCCTATCATTGCTGGATAAAAGCAAACTCCCCCAGTCTGCTCGTATATGTATGTATATATGATCTGAGCCCTATTCTCGCAGTCAACGGAGCCCATCCCGTGCTGAAGCCGCACTATAAGACTAAGGCGCAGTGGACAATCACTCCTTTCCAGCTGCTCTTATATGAAATAACTCTAAGCTTGTTCGGCACATCCGCATGAAAAAATCACATTTTGTTTGATGCTGCTTCCGCATGTGTGCCTCAAGTTTTGGCGGCATGTGAAGCCGAAGAATCTCGCTAGGAGGAGCCGAGCAGAGAGCGTTTAACCAAGCCAGTAAGAGCTTTGAAGCGAGTTGTGAAAGGACAACCCAGAAAGTGACAACCCAACCATCAGGGCTTCCCTGCAGCCAGAGAGACTCTGCCCAGAATGCTGAGTGAAGAAACTCCTTGGCCCTGAAACGCTCCCGAAAACCCTGAAACCCTAAACCCTCAACTACTATTTTGTTGATCGCAGGCTTTTTCGCCGGCGACAGCGGTCTGGCCCTTCCTCTGAAAGTTGGGGCTCGGGGGGCTTTTCCAAGCGTTGAGACTTAGAGCCTATGGGTCTTTAAAGGCACTTTGTTTCATGTGATGGAGTCCTCAATGGCTTTGGGGTAGCCTGTCTTTTCCCACTAGCAGCTTCGAGACGTGCTGCATCACTTTGCTTTCCCGCTTTGCCCGGAGTCGGACTTTCCTCCCAACTAAGGCTGTTAATTTCCCGAGCTTCAAAAAACGCGTGACCCTGCCCCCGATAAGCCCTCTAGTAAGGTTAAAAACACCACCCCGATTCCCCGACCCCGAACCTTCAAAGCTTTCAGGATCTTGTCAAGATGCTTCGACCGATCGACCTGCCAACTATGTGCGACGATGCCCCCGACAGGGCTGTCGATCAGATGAAGGCCAGGCCTAAGCATGTTGGGGTTTAGGGTTCCTTTTAAAGGGATCTATAAGGGCTTCCCTAAAAGGGGTCTATACAGGGTTTAGGGTTTCAATACGAGCTCTACAAGGGTTCTTTGAAGGCGAGCTTGGGGCTCCGAGTTTCGGGCTGGGGCCGTGGAGCGGCTGAAGGTTTGGGATTTGGGATCTCTGACGCCCGTCCCTGAGACTGCCACCAGAGCCGCCACACAAAGACCTTAGCCCCTAGAAGCCATGTGCAGACAAGTGTATCATTCTACGCGCAACTTTGTCGGGCGCGAGGGCGGTTCTCTGAAGATTCGGCCGGATTCCAGCGGCTTAGCACGAGCCCCAAGCCCGAAGTTCAACCCTATTCAGGTTGAGAACGGGGGGTCTAGTTACATCAGAGAGATCCTGGTTGAGGAAAGGGGGGGGTTCACGTCGTCAAGACATGAAGAGGATGGGTGCCCGCTGCAGGCAGCACTGCGCCGTGCTGGCGTCGAGTGGCCCTGAGGGCTACCCGAGAACACCGGCTCATAGGTCTAAGTTTACTGGCGAGGATTAGGGTTTTCTACCGTCTTGTGGGTCAAGCTGGGCAACAAGGGCAGCAGTCGAGTCCCTTGTGAACAAGGGTTTAGGGAAAAAGGGGCTTGCCATCTTGAAAGCACTAACGTCGAAACCACCAATCCTAGCTTCCCCCATCACTTCCTGCATTTCTGAAACCGTGACCCAAGCCTCCCACATCCCACCTTCCTTGTTGTAGGACCCTGGGCCGTTCCTTCAGAATTCCCCCATGATTATAGTGAACACCTGGAACGAGCCTCGATACAATTATTTTACAACCTTACATACAGACTTACAGCAAGCCTTGACGGTTTTTAACACAAACCCTAGGTTGCCTTAGCATTAAGTTCGGGTCATGGGAGAAGGGCGTCCGTGAGCAAAGTCTGCGGGCCCGCGCCGTGAAGCGAAAGACCCTGCAAAAAGCGTTCGCAAAAGCATTCTGGCTTACGGTTTAGGGTTTAGGGTTGTATGGTTGTGGGCACCGAAGCACAGTGCTGACAATCAGTACCGTCACTTACCCGAATTTGTATGATCACCCTTCACATAACGTTATGATTGCTCTTGCTCCGCTTTTACAGACCTTTATTCTCACTATTGCTGTTTCTCGCGGTCGTTAAACTTAACTGCGTGAGTTCATAGTAAATGAACGTTAGCTCCTGAATTATAATGGGAACGCATCCGACGGACAAGTTTGGAGGCAGCCCGATGTCTGAGAAATTCAAGGGCCAGCACATGCCCAACAAGGACGCTTTCAGAAGACTCTATCCGTACTCCCTTAAATACCACTCCTTCCACAGAAATGTGGCCTAGTTGCATGTCGACTGAGAATCCTTTCTGACGTGCCTGAGATTTCTGGTCCGCATCCCAGCCCCAAACTCGAGAGTCCGAGCCATAAACGGGAACCTCCCAGAGCCTTCACTCTACGGCCCGAGATCGACCGTCCACAATAAGCTTAAAGGTTTAGCCTTGGGCTAACAAGTCTCCATAGCCCTTCTTGCAGAATGTGATATCCCGCAGTCACAGGGCTGCTCGTCAGGCACTGAATATTGCTAAAATCAGTGGCATTGGAATTGTAGAAATTGGGAACAGTTGAGGCCAGACCGCTGCGGTTGCTGGACCAAAGAGGCTGAGCTCTGAGACATACAGGCACCAGTCGCACTGACACGGCAGGGTGTCGTCGGCTGCGGGCTTTCAGCATCCTTCACAGCTTGAGGTTTTCATGGCTTTCAGTGTTTTGAGGCACTTTGTTGAGTTGGCTATTGTGGCTTTTGGAGAAGTAGTTCAGGTTTAGGATTGACGGGTTGTCAGGGTCTCGCAATTTTTGGCGATCCCCAGTCAGCCCACACCAGCACAGACTCGGACCTGAAACTCAAGACGTCGATGAAATGCACGAGTCATCCAAAAACTGAATAATCTTGTTCAGCCTTTGCAGTGCAGCATAGCCCGGAAACTGCTCCCTAACTCACAGCTTCTCTAAACCCGCTTGTGTCTCAGAGGACACTGAACCTGGCCCTGCTTCTTGATGCCACCGCCCGTATCGCCATGCTGGCCTTGAGCTTAGCCTCCATGCACTCGCTAAACCCGAAACCCTAAACCCCTAAACCCTGTTGTGCCGTTATGCTTGGCTTTAACGAGAAGGGCAACGGAGAGGTTTGATGCCGCAAATAAAAGCCGAACATGGATCAGCACGATAAGGGCAACAGGACGCAGTCAGTTGAGTAGATCGCGACAATTAATTAGAGGAACACTGTCGATCTGCCAGGTTGCCTGAGCCTTCCTGGTCAGACTTCAGACATGTACTTAATGGCTCAAGCCGTTTAACCACATCCAAATTCCTAACTGTCCTAACTCTAAACAACAAGAAGTGTTGAAATCCCGAGTCTCGAAGGGTGTAATGAATCTCACAACCCTAGACAAAGCTCACGCCTAGCAGATGCATGTTCTCAAAGCTCACATGCTGCTCTGCTCCCAAGCCCGGTGACTTTGCTTACTGGCAGCATGGTCAAGATGAAGAGTACAGGAGTACAGCCAAAGTTATTTCCAGCGGACATACCGCTCTTGCTTCCGTGTGTACATATACCTGTATACATAGTACGTACATGCATATACGCACGCATGCATGCGTGCATGCTTACACTAAACAATGTATATATGAATATATACATACATATGCACACACATATATCTATACATGTGTATATATATATATAATATATGTTGGATACAGATAGATATGCATGATGTCCGGAGGTAAGTTTGGAATCCTCGAATCCAGGAAGCCTCTCCAGCCACAGAACCCGGCCTGCTTTGAGGTGGCCGCCGCCAACAAGCCGTCCGCCCTCCTGGCCAGCGTTCTGGCGGGAGCCTCACGAGAAAATGAGCGCGAGCAAGGTGAAGCAATAACACGTGTCAGAATCACAACAAGTACAACCAGGTCAGACAGAAAGAAAGAAGGTTTGCAAGGTAATTAAGGCAAGGCCTTACTGGGATCAACCATAAACATGAAAAGCTAGGCACAGAGGGAATCATCGCAGCAGTGCTTTTCAGAAATGAGGTGTGCTCATGCGCGGGTCATGCACGATGGATTTGTTGATTTCGGGGTGCATCCATTGCAAGTAACGGGAACCATGGATGCTCAGCAAAAGGACACGTGCCCCTCAAGGCCACCTGAACAAGAACATGAAGGTATGTTTTCCCAAGTTTAGCCGTCATTAGCCTGCAGGATTCAACCCACATGGCTTTAGTTCAGCGGTTTAGAGTTTAGAGCCAAAGCAACTCCAAGGCAGTAGAAGTTGGGGTCAAGATCTGATGGCTTTTGTAACCTTTTTGCCAGCGCTGGCCGCCCCGGTTGGGTCACCAAAGCTAGACAACCAGGGCATTTCCTCGGGCTTGATGGCAAAGGCGAAAGAATTATTATCTTGATTGGAAGAAGAATTTGAGGTTGTTTGTCGTAGGCAGACCCGTTTTGGGCCTCCCATTAATCGCAATCCTAACATAAATTCATCCATACCTGGCGCAGCATTCGCACACCAGAAGAGAAGGCATGGCTAACAGGAGGGACCAAAGCATCGTGATGATCATCGCCGCGCTTGTTACAGTTACGAGCTCCAGCATCATATAGTATATTATGAGCCTTCCACATTTTAATGGTCCTGTCCGGCTACCATGAAGTCGGCAGCCAGTTGGAAATAAGCGTAAACATCGGCAACGAGAACAACTGGAGCCCTGAGCCCTAGACCCTAAACCCTAAACCCTAAACCCTAAACCTATAGAGGCCTTAAGTCCTAGCGCCCCAGACATCCTTAGACTCCCTAGACCTTCAACCCTGGAACCGAAACCCTCGAAGCCCTAAACACTGGAGCCCTAAAGCTGAAAGCTCTCAAACCATATATCGATACATATATTCCTATAGACAATATATATATATATATATCCTACCAACTGGGTGCAATATGTCACTATGGATTTAGGCCTTCATGCGCCATCCGTACCATGGTGTTCGGGGCGGGACCCAGCTCCCTAGTGGCAGTCTATATGGATGCTGTTGGATAGACCTCAAGCCTACACCCTGCACCCTAGACTTGATTTGGCTGGTGTAGATTTTACCCTGCCTCTGGA